TCACCCAGTAAGGATGTTGTGTCCGTAAGCACGGCCACACTGGTCAGAGCAAAGGTCCAGCCAGCCCTGTATCCTGGCCTCGACATGGCTAATACCTGGTACCCCAGAGGGGATGAACAGTTCATCCCCTGTCAGCCATTCCTGGTTTCTGACAAACAGAGACTAGGGACACTATTCCTACCCATTCTGGCTAACAGCCGTTGATGGACCAAACCTCCATAAATCAATCTAGCTCTTTTTTGAGCAGACCTCGCTGGGGATCTGGAAAGTTAAGACACACGAGCAGCCGGGAAAAAAATGGGCAAGATTTGTAGCCCGAGACGGTTCCCTTTTAAAGACCTGATTTCAGTCTTACGGCGTGCTCAGTACTTTAGTGAGAATGGTCTTGATACATTCAGCCCCTGATTTTTAGTCCCACCATGAGTGCAGGGCGTGGGCCCAGATGACTTCACGAGGTCCCTTCCGTTCCTGCCAGTCTGTGGTTTCCTTTACGTTACCAGAGTGGTGTGAAGACCCCATATAAACAGTGGTGAGAATCAGACCCCCAGCCAATAAGCTCTTCAGGTCAGGGGCTGTTTTTATTTTGCACTTTCTCCAAGGCTAAGTCCTTGAGCCTGGCTGGGTAAGATCTCGGTGTAGAGAGAGAGAATGCGCCCGTGGGTTTGTGTGGGCCTGAGGGGAGTCAGGCAGGACTCGGGGCAGGACTAGTCTGTGACGAGATGTTTGCTCCACATGAGGACGGGGGTCTCAAATTATTTACCAAGATGAAACGTTTCAACACAGGATAAACATGCCCTAAGCAAGTCCTTCTCCCAGGAGGAAACCTCTCTGGAAATCATGCTCTAGATACACTTCTCTCAGGAGAAAGACCCTCTGAAAACCAGCCAACCCACCAGAGCCCCTGCTTCTAACGTGAGGCTTCTACAAACGCAGGCCGAGCCCAAACAAGCTCTGGGGGGGGGGCTAATCCCGCCCCAGTTAGACCCCACAGAGGTCCCTTAGAAAACTGGACCCAGCTGCTCCTCAGGCTTTCAAATGCAGAGTCGATCGCTCTGCCGTGCGTCTCGTGGTCTGGCTGTTTGCTTTGAAAATTAAATTATACTATGAGTCAACAGTGTGATGCTGTTGCAAAAAAAGCAAATATGATTCTAGGTTGTATCAACAGGTGTGTTGTAAGCAAAACTCGTGAAGTCATTCTGCCGCTCTACTCTGCACTAGTTAGGCCTCAGCTGGAGTACTGTGTCCAGTTCTGGGCGCCACATTTCAAGAAAGATGTGGAGAAATTGGAAAGGGTACAGAGAAGAGCGACAAGAATGATTAAAGGTTTAGAGAACATGACCTATGAAGCCAGGCTTCGTGAACTGGGCTTGTTTAGTTTGGAAAAAAGAAGATTAAGGGGGGACATGATAGCGGTTTTCAAATATCTAAAAGGGTGTCACAAGGAGGAAGGCGAAAATTTGTTCCTCTTGGTTTCTGAGGACAGGACAAGGAGTAATGGGCTTAAAGTGCAGCAGGGGAGGTTTAGATTGGACATTAGGAAAAAATTCCTAACTGTCAGGGTGGTCAAATATTGGAATAAATTGCCAAGGGAGGTGGTGGAATCTCCCTCTCTGGAGATATTTAAGAACAGGTTAGATAGACATCTGTCAGGGATGGTGTAGACGGAGCTTGATCCTGCCTTGAGGGCGGGGGGCTGGACTCGATGACCTCTCGAGGTCCCTTCCAGTCCTATGATTCTATGATTCTTCCCCTCTTTAACAAAGCGCTGGGTCAGACCGAAGGTCCATCTAGGCCAGGGTCCTCTCTGCCGAAAGTGGCCAGAACCAGGTGCCCCAGAGGAGGGAACACAACAGGGAATCCTCACGTGATCTCTCTCCTGTCACCTATTTCCAGACAAACAGAGGCGAGGGACACTATTCCTACCCATCCTGGCTCATAGCCGTTGATGGACCGAACCTCCATGAATCTATCTAGCTCTTTTTTGAGCAGACCTATCTTGGGATCTGGAAAGTTAAGACACACGAGCAGCCGGCAGAAAATGGGCAAGATTGGTAGCCCGAGACGGTTCCCTTTTAAAGACCTGATTTCAGTCTTGCAGCGTGTTCAGTAGTTTAATGAGAATGGTCTTGATACACATAGCCCCAGGTACTTAGTCCCACTCTAAGTGCAGTGCACAGGCCTAGATGGCCTCTAGGGTGGCTTTTTGCACGAGAAATATGCAAACGAGGCTACGTGTGGAATATCGCCGAGCCTCATTTGCATACCTAATGAGCCACCATTTTTTTCAGAAGAGGCTCTTGCCCACTCTAAGTGCAGTGCACAGGCCTAGATGGCCTCTAGGGTGGCTTTTTGCACGAGAAATATGCAAACGAGGCTACGTGTGGAATATCGCCGAGCCTCATTTGCATACCTAATGAGCCACCATTTTGCAGAAGAGTGTCTTGCGCTAGAAGGAGCTGTCTACACGGCCCCTTTTTGTGCAAGAAAACCCTCCTGCGCAATGCCGCGACGCTGATTATTTTCAGGAAGAACGGCACGGCGCAGGAGGGGTTTTCTTGCGCAAGACGGTGCAGTGTAGACAGCTCCTTCTGGCGCAAGAGCTTCTTCTGCAAAAATGGCGGCTCGTTAGGTATGCAAATGAGGCTTGGCGATATTCCATGGTTAGCCTCTTTTGCATATTTCTCACGCAAGAAGCCGCAAGTGTAGACATAGCCCGTAGGTCCCTTCCAGTCCTGCCATTCTATGGTATCCAAAATTTTGGAGGAGACCAAGCACTGGCTAGGAAGGGGCCTGGTCCGTGGAGTGGAGCTGAGACCGGTTTTGAGACCAGCTGGGTTAAGTTGCTTGGACGCTGGCAGGGAATCTGTAAAACCCGGACTCTGGACCAGTCTCTCCTGCTTCTGTTTCCTCCAGATGGACTCCCCTGAACTCCCAGAGGAGGTGCAGCTGTGGGTGAGCTACAACGAAGCCAGCAGCCAGAAGCTGAGAGCAGAAAGGGGCCTGGCAT